TTGGTTGATTAGGACTACCCGTGTTCTATTTTATTAAATGGGGATCAAAAGTGAAGATCTTTCAGAGAAAAATTTGGTTCTCTCAGGAAATAAGGTTTTTCAGGCAAAATAGGATGATAAGTGATGAAAAATGAGCTTTAGACCACTACTGTATATAGAAATAGGAAGCCTCAAGGTGGACTGAATGCTTAAATCAATACATTTGATGTTCTCCACCCCTAGTCTGTGCTATTTCGTCCAGCTCACTTGAGATAAGTGAACATCATGGCAAAACTAGAGTACACAAATGTATACACTAAATGCAACACACATAATATAAGTGTAAAATACACATACAAGGGCATGCATGCGTTCACAACTCTATAAGAGTAAGCCTGATACATGTGTAATTTCTAGCATTAAAAGTAAAAATTGCCTGCAGAGGATTTATGTAAAAACCAGATGGGAAGGATATAACAAAAAATAGGACGAAAGATAAAGTAAAATGTCATAACTCATTCTCTACCCATTTAAATACCAGCTTTCACCGGTTTTCTCTGTGCATCTGATTGTGAATGATAGGTGTGTATGATATTGGGGGGGGTTTGATAAGTGTTTTACTGCGCTCGCAACTACATAAGGTCATATGAGCGCGTGGGACACATTAAACTTTTTCAGTTGGTGGGGAATTTTGAATTTTGCGCGGGTGGCGGCCAAAGCCTACTCTTATCAATTTTAGACCACCAAGGGATCTTTAAAGTGCGCAACTTGCACAAGGGCCCTCCGAGATTTTTCGCCCTTGTCTGAGAAAGCTAGGTGTAGATCTTTCCTACCACAAGATCAGGGGTGTGGCTGAAAGACAGCAGTAAGAAGGAGCCAAGGAGTAGCAGTAGAAAGGCTGCAGAAAGAGTCAGGAGCCCCAAGGAGGGGGCAAAGGAGGTGAGGGGGTGGGGGTAGAAAGAGGAGACGAAACAGATGACAGAACATTGCTAGAAAGCAGGAAAGGAGGTGAAAGGAGACAATTTTAGAGAAGAAAATTTTTCGGTCTCTACCCGGATTCGAACTCGGGACCTACCTTCGAATGAGAGGCCAACACTTTAAACTCTAGGCCACGAGAGCCCCCGTGTGTGTATGTCTGAGAAGGATTTTCATAAGTAAAATGAAATAATAATAAGTATGGAACGTCATACATATTTTGAAGGGTGACCTTATTTAGGCCACATATGGCCTAAATAAGCTAAACCCCCCTCCCTTACCTTATTTGGGCCACAGGTGGCCTAAATAAGCTAAACCCCCCTCCTTCACCTTATTTAGGCCACACCTGTGGCCTGAATAAGCTAAACCCCCCTCCCTTACCTTATTTAGGCCACACCTGTGGCCTAAATAAGCTAAACCCCCCTCCCTTACCTTATTTAGGCCACATATGTAGTCAAAATAACCAAACCAATGTAAAGCATTGTTTTCTTTACAAGTTACGTTATTATCTCTTTAAAACTCTTCACATCCATTTTCCTTCACAGCCGTATCATACATGACATGTGATGTAGAATCAATTTAAGGTCCTTGGAAAGGTGACCAGAAAATAACAAAATTATTTTATGATCTTCACTTGCACTTGCAATTTTTTGGACAAATTAAAGTCTACCTAATTATATTTTTTCCCCTCATTTGTCTTCACTATAAATGACAACTGGCATGTATTCTTTTCAGTTATTATCAAGAAAGTGGATAGGCGGACTACGGGGTCTATCTAGCCAAAAGGATAGGTGGACCCCGGGGTCTACCTAACAAAATGTTAGGTTTTAGGATGCGAACCGCGGAGTCAGCATAGTGAAATAAGTAGATCTAGGTTTAACTAAGGATCGGTGGACCCCGGGGTCAACATAATGAAATAAGTAGATCTAAGTTTATTTTATAATAGGACTGGCGGAGCCCGTGGTCAAAGTAGTGAAATTATAAGTAGATATAGATTTAATTAAGGATTGGAGGACCACAGGGTCAATGTAGTGAAATCAGTAGATCTAGGTTTAATTAAGGATTGGTGGACCCTGGGGTCAATGTAGTGAAATAAGTACATGTAGATAGATCTAGGTTTAATTTTTAGGATTGGTGGACCCTGGAGTCAACGTAGTGAAATAGGTAGGTTTAAGGTGAACCCCAGGGTCTACCTAACGAAATACTAGTTAGGTTTTAGAATAGGTGGATCCTGCGGTCACCGTAGTAAAATAAGTAGGTTTAATCAAGGTGTCCCGGGGGTCCACCAATCCTTAATTAACTCACTTCAGACGGGTCACACAACAGTTGCGTGACCCCCGCCATGACGCTCGCGTCGGGTCTCACAAGCCCTGCGTGACCAACTTTGGAATTTTTTTTTCGCTCTACAAATCACGCACGGATCGCGAGACCCGCCTCGTACCCTTGTTTGGCCAAGCCTGAGCTACTTAGATTTCGTTTCGTATCTCTGGGGCCGGTAGTTTTTAAGTTATTGAAGGTGAAGGACAGTGACCCCAACTGTGGTTGAACAGACCGGAACTCGCGCTTTGTTTTTTTCTATACAGCTCATAGTAATCCGACAGTCGCGTCATAGTAACGGTCGAAGAAGTCGCATGAACAAGAATCACATAATTTCGCCGTTTTCTATACTTCTGTACGTTTTACTAGTTCTAGTGTCTCAGAATATGATGTGTCTAATAGTTAGGATCCTGGATATGTACCCGAACACGGCCCGAGTCGTAGTTCTAGGGCTAGATCTAGCACTAGTACCGGTGTTGTTTTTCGCGCAACGAAATCACAACGTCGTGCCGTACATCTGTCTCATGTAATTCAGTGTATGGGTCTGAATCAATGCACAGACCAGCTTTTATATTTTCACCAAACACTTGCACATGTATACAAATAAAACCAGAACACTTTGAACTTTTATTTTTGTTGTTGCAGTGAATTTCATTCTACTTGTCACGTCTCTGGAAATTTTTCGAAATTCAAATTCATGCCAATTTTTTTAAAATCATACAAATTAAAGTATTAGACTTAGACAACTTTAGTTTTTTGTATTAGATTAAGCTTGAATGTTACTTTACTGTGTCAAAAAATGATTACAATAGGGTAATTCTGAGAGTTGTGGTGATTTATTGAAATACCCCCCAAAACGCCAGTCTTCAACGCTTGTGGCTGGTGAAAGGGCCCAGTCGCAAGTGAGTTAAACCTTCTTAATCCTCTACGGCCTTGGTGACTCCGGGTTCCACCAATCTTTAAAGAAACCTACTTATTTCACTGCGGTGACCCCAGGGTCCACCTGTCCTAAAACCTAGTACCAATCCTTACTTAAACCAAACCTTATTTCACTACGGTGACTCCGGGGTCCACATCCTAAAACCTAGTATTTCGCTATGCAGACCCCGGAGTCCACCTATCCTCTACAGGACTATACTATTATCATCAATTTGCAATTTTCATTGATTAGCATTTTTGTTTAAATATAATATTGAATCAGAGTGCAGGGGAGACCGAGGCGCCCGGTCGATTCGGTGGTCGGCTTTTGTAGATCTATGCATTTTTTACGGAAAGGCGTATTACCTAACCCTATTACTAGATCTATTAGTGTTGTGAAAACTTCAACCTCTACAGCTCAGGCGTCAAAAGATGCTGGTAAATAATAATAGATCTACGTCCTGAAGTTTCATAATTTATTTTTATACAGAATAACACAGTACACAGTCAGTAGTTTTTATTTCATCGAGTTATAAAAATGGCCTTCGTATAAAAATTGCCTTGTTTTCAGAAGCAAGTTTTAATAGTTCTAGTTCTACCTAATCGATTTTCATGCGAATTCAACCATTTTGATGATCTTTCTTTTCCTTTTAAAAAGATGTAGATCTAGGCCTGTCGGATGTGGCAGTGCGAATAGCACTGAGTTGTTTAGATCTAGATCTAGATCTAGACCCATCAAAACACGAGGCTTCGTGGCCGATCACAAAAGTCTACGGGGCTTATCGAGGCCGATTCGCCCTGCCGCGAGCACGTTCACTAAACTGCCTACTAGATAGAATCTACTACCAAATATTCTCTACACGATCTTTGCTACTACTACTACTAGGCCTACTAGCCTACATGTACTACTACGAGACAGTACGAGAGAGTGTCACTCAGGCAAAGATAGTGTAACTTTGACTCAGCCACGTAGTATACACACTTTTTATACCCCAAATTTAACCCGAAAGTCCATTCGGAGGATTTGACCTTTTCACTTGACTAAAGTGTGCCAAAATGGTAGCCTAGCTTTTGCCCCTCCATGAAGGAAAAATCCAGCCCTCATTCAAACCATTGGAATTGAGCAAAATTTTGCGTTTTGTGCTTTGTTCTTTACAATATTCATTATGGTTATGATTTATAAGTTGTGCACTGAGGCGGCAAAACCATACTAAATGAGAAAGGGGCACCATTATGAAAGTGGAATGAACTCAGTTGCCTGAAAAGGGTAGTTTGAACATGTGTGGCCTAAATAAGCTAAACCCCCCTCCCTTACCTTATTTAGGCCACAGTCCACTGTGGCCTAAATAAGCTAAACCCCCCTCCCTTACCTTATTTAGGCCATATGTGGCCTAAATAAGCACTCCCTATTTTGAAAGGTGATTATTGACAGTGGTAAAAAAATATTTGATTAGGCAAAGGACGTAATTGATATTTGTCAGAGAATACGTCCATCACAGGGGAGCTAATAAAAAGACAGACTAAATTGCCTACTTAGAAAATAAATCATTAAATTTATATTTTTAAAAACATTAATAAAATGAATGTTACGTTCAATTCCCAACATGTTCCTGTAAAAAGGTATGAAATTGTGCAATTCTAGCAGATTTCATTATCAATTTAGTTACATCACTGTGACAATACCAAAAGTTGTAATGAATCAGAATTTGCCGGAGTTGCACTTGCATGTCCAAGTCTAGATTTAGATTTAGACCTAGATCTAGGTCATTATCCTCTTGATTTTCACTTCTCTTAGCTTTCTTTCCCTTTCATTTTCCAGCATATTCACTCACTCCCTTGTCTTCAACTATCCTCCATGGTGTCACTGAAGGTTCAGATCTACAAATTGTCTTTTTTTCACACCTCTAACTCTCGATTCAATCATCACTCGAATCAGAATCTAAAGCTAAGAATTCTAGGTCATTATCATCTCTGTCCCTTACGTTTACTAAAGAAAAAGACCCTGGTCTGTTGCACATACTATATGCCTATGGGGTTATGAGCAACCAGGCCCAGAAACATAGCTGGAACTAGAAATGGGTGTGGTCATCCTTCATGTTTTGGTTTCACAGACACACCAAATACTCCAATAATATCAACTTTCAACCCACTTACGTAGTTATAGACACAATATTTCGTTGCAGGAAGTTTCTACTTTTGAGATTTGTTTTTATATCAAAACAAAAAATTATGGATCAAGCATTTACAAACCAAACACTGTTTGAGTATAGCCTGTGCCGATGTATCGGTAAAGGGTGAAAATGGTGCGGTCACGCTGCCAATATATCGGTAATGGGCAGAGAATGAGTTAACACAATCTATTGCTATCAAGTTCTCTCCACCATCAGTTCAGAACTCTAGAATCACATTTTTTGCACTTCCATCCATTAAACCACTTTATCCAACAGTAATTCTTTCTTGTTTTTCCTTTTCCTTCACTTGTTCCTTCTTTTCGTTCACTGGTAAAGAATCTTGTCTTATCATAGGTCCTAAAAGAATTAAAAAGTAAACTCCTGATCTCTTCTGCATCTTTCAAAACTTCTTGCTATTTTTTTCAAATAATAATAGCCTATTGTCGAAGAGGATCTAAAGCAGATTACATGGCTGATATAAATTTTCACATGAGAGGGAAAAAAAAGTTGTTTTGTGGGCTTATGTTCTACAACTACAATATATGCTGAAGAAGAAATTCATTGTACAAATAAAATAACATTGTTGAGGCTGTTAATAAACAGTTAGGTTTAAATCAACATCAATCAACTTACAAAACAGTGAGGGTGAGAAATCCTCTGACTTATCATATATGCCACTTTCAGTCCCGAAGATATCATCATCGTGAGTGACAAATAAAGTATGAGTATTCTTTATTATTCTAAAGCTGTGACTTTCACTGACAAGAATTAGTATCTAAATATTGATGGCACCGAAGGGATGTAGATCTAATTATATAGAAAATAATCCCTCTAAACTATAACAACTGTAGATTTCATTATAATACTGCGAGGTGCAGTAAGTATGTAACTGTAAACCAGGAACAACAGCAACAACAGACCAACTGGCCCTCGAGTGTGCATTTGCGTCTACTGTGACATCAGACGATCGTCTTTGTCTTTGTCCAGTGAGCCAGATCGCTCAGCCCTGCGTGCTGTCCACCACTGGAACAACGGGTGACCATAGGTGACCAGCACAAGCACCAGAAGGAAAAGATTAACCTGAGGAACATACACATAGATAGCTCTTTACCATCATTCTCAAAAATGCAAACAAGCGAGTGCAATAGACGATCCGAGTTTGGCACAATGCTGGTTTATTGAAGGTTTATCATTCTATGGTGATCTACCGTAAGTCCCACCCAATCGACCACGGTCTATTGCGATATTACACGTCTAGCATGACATAAAGCCCGTCTGGCCTTGATTACAATTGTGGTGGGGGCAAATCCCCCCCCCCCTCCCTTCACTGCTCCCCTCAATGTTCAAGGCTATTATGTCTATTCAGGTTTCCCAGAAACAGCATTTGTCTCTTCCTGTTTTCATCAGTGAGCGGCCAAGGTGGGCTTCTTCAAATATTACTTCTTTCGATTTCCTTTTCTTCCAAAACAAAGACGATAAATAAAGAAAGGGAGAAATTATCCCCCAAACATACAGCAGTCTCAAAAGCTTAGTAATGAAGAGGCTACATTATAAGGTCATTACTAAAGGGGTACAAAATATGTCAAGAGAACAAAGATGACGACTGATCAAAAACAGTGACTGATGTCTTCAAAAGCAGCAGATGACCATTAAAAAATCAAAACAAGGAGCAACAGAGCTCAGGTGGATATTGAACAATAACTCAATTATGACATAATCCTAAGTCAGTATGAGATAGCTTTATTAAGAGTAGTGTCCTTAGATGAGTCATTAAAACCTAGCTCAAATCAGGGAACAGCAGAGAAGATCAACTAGAGCATTTGTACAATTGGCTTGCACAGTGTCAAACTATGAATTGTAAATGTTTACATGCAATGAAAACTTATTTCAGCTAAAATAAATAAATATACTTTTTTTTCTTCTGTTCATAACAAAGAGAGAAGTCTTCAAAATATCTAACCTGGTTGGAGCCAGCAGCTTCTGACCACTGGAAAAGAGCGTACTGGAACATGCTGATGATGCCACCGGTCAAGATGAGGACGCCGTACAGAATACCAAAGTACTCACTGGGAAATCTGAAATTTAAAAAAAAAACGTATCACGGTAAAAAGTAATACTTAACAACATGTGACAAGAGTTATTCATTCCTGCATTCATCGGCCATCTTATAATCTCACTCCCAGTACAAAAAATTGAAGTCTTAGACTCACCCAGAACAACAAGCTGATGTCTAAAGCCGCAGTTACACGCAATGATAAATTGTGTCAGATTCGTCGTATGCGAGAACAGTCCGTTTTATTGAGCTGTGTAGTCTGTTCATATGTTCCAATCTATTGCATAGTTTTCTTTCGATAAGGGAGATTCCTAGTCATTGACTTGACTGCAGATGTGCAACACATTGGGTGACCTTGATATGCAACTTCACCATTGATGATCAACTAAATAATAAAATTGCTAAAATTTACATAATAACACATCAAATAAGGTTCCCCAAGCAACTTAGACTATTTTGAGACGCTGATACCGAATATGAAATCAGTATTTACCTGCGATAATTATTTAAAATATTCTGAGCCCTAAGTTTAACTCACTGGAGACTGGGCCTTTTTCGGGTCTACATGCGCTGAAGACTTGCATTTGTCGGGGTATTTCAACATTTCAAACAACACCCTTCCCAAAGACACACAACCACCATTTCTACACACATATCAGATCTAAACATGCCTAAAATGACACAAAAAACCAGAAAGGCAATATCTTTTACAGTTTAAAAAAAATGATTTTTTGAAAATGTGCTATAATTTGTTGCTCGCCAAAAATTTTTAACGTTATGTCTTGTATAACAAAAAACCCGCAAAAAAACCCACCCAAAAATTAACCTTGTGTGTGCCTTTTATTGTGTTTTGTGTTTCAAAATGAAAAAAAAGTCTATACTAATGAATAGGCAGGTAATCAATATGGTAATCCATATGTATTTAGCTGTCCAATCCACTTCAGTGTGAAAAAAACAGGGCTCCAGACAAAGTGGAATTTTGCATTTGAAAGCCTAGTCTAGATCTAGAACACTTTCTATCAGAATCAGTGCTTTGATGCTCATTTACATTGAAATCGGGATCCCCAGGGTCTAAAATATCATGATCAGAATTTTCTGAACTGTCAAAGTCATCAAACACTTGAAAAATGTTTGCTTTTTTCGTGCTGCCAAATGGGTGGTTGGCAGGTGCTCTGGTGTGGTTTGCTCCTTCTTTCCTATAAACCAACTTTCGTCCTGATCTCTCCTTTTTTTGTGTTCGTTACTCTCTTGTAACACCTAATATTCAGCACTTATATGATCTTATTGTGTTGCAAGTGCCGTAAAACTCTTACTAAACCTAAACGTGCTGCCATTGTACTGACAAAGTGTTGCGAGAACAGACATGTCAGAAATACGAAAGTAGGGCCTCAGTGTGACTAACTTTCCTTCTGGGTCGATAACTCAAAAAGTCTCCTGCCAATTCTGGTGAAACTTCACACGAAACGAAACAAAGGTTGGCTGCACGATAAGAGATGGTTCATGCAGCGTTTGCACGCATACTTTGGCGAGGACAAAACGCGAAACTTGTGCTCCCAGGGGGTGCGTGAACCGCCTCTCGGGGAAACACTGGTGCTCGCAAATGCTGCGTGAACCGTCTCCAGTGAGTTAATCCTGCGCGGCGGCTTAAAGTGATTCTACGCCATCAAATCTCACCGTGATTGCAAGCCATCCTCCAAACTTTGTACAATTTTGCGGTTGCACCTGACGATTTGTCTCATAATTGATAGATCAACCAGATTTTTAACAATTTATCATTGCGTGTAACCAGGGCTTTAGACTCTCCCAGAAAAATAAATTGAAGTCTTAGACTCATTTGATGTCTATTTCTTCCTCCTTTTCTTCCTATTTAGTGTTTCACAGATATGTCTCAGCAGTTGCTGACAGTACAGTTTTTAACTCCCATAGCTGCTAATTATTGTCTAACTTACCAGGCCCATTGTCCTCCAAGGAAGCACTGCTGCCCTTCACCTTTCAGGCAGCTATACAGAATGCTTTTTTTTTTTAGATGGCTGCACTTCCATATTTATAAGAAACCAAAAAGGAAGACTTCAGGAAAGATCCGTCTTCAGCACACCAAATATCCATACCAGCTTATAGCAAAATCAGTCAACAAAACAAAATGTAAATTTCTTGATGTGCCTGTTCCTGCATTTCCTAATGTACAAGAAAAGGGCCAATACTCACATAGCATTGATAAAACCAGCACCCATGGTGTAGAGGAAGGAGCGGAACAGCACCAGCGCAACGAAGACAGCATACCAGGCATGCGGGTGTTCCACCAGGACCAGACCAGACATGATCAAACACAGCGTTGTTGTGATGGCCAATGGGATCACTGCAGGCATCAGAGTCCGACGCATCACGGATTCACTGTCTAAATACAAATACAGTCGAACCTGCCATGACGGTCACCTGTATAATATGGCCACCTGTACAAACTGCCACTTTCCATCCCCCCCCCTCCCCCCCTTGCATTTTTTCGATACAATTTAACTGTGTAAAACGGCCATCTGTCCAACGCAGCCACAGCCACTTATTTTATCAACCCATGGTCAAATTTACCAGCCTCAGGAGGCCAGGCGTGGTCATTCATTGCCCGATGCTTTGTTATAAATTTTGAATCGACCCTTCATGCTTTGGACGGGCCTTTATAATTCATTCACCTCTCGTTACTGTTAGTCTCTCCAATGAATGTCTACCCAAGTTGACCAAAGGGTAGGCTTAACAATAAGTTTTCAACTGCTGGTGAGGGAAACGTGATCCGTCATTACCTATAAACCCCGCCCACAACTCATGCACAAATCATGTGTGAGGTGACTGATCACTGTTTTGCTTACCTAATCTGCAACAAAGTAACAATGGACGTTGACAAGAACTTGCAATAGCAAGTTGCTCATTCTCCGAGAGGTGGCGGCCCATGTGTTTGTTTTACCATGGCACTTGCTCTTCATCATCTCACTTGCATAATATTTTGTTTATTTTACCCTTGCAAAAAATTAGTAACAAAAAGAAAGCTAACCACAAACAAACCAACAAAACAAAAAACCCTTCTTACATCACCCTCCCCCCTTTTTCAAAAGAAAACAAAAACACTTTAGAACTAGCCTTACGGCAGTCCTTATCCTGAGATCAGCCCCAGTTTGGACCTCAGAAACAATGATATGGCCACTTTTCTTCAAGACAATGGGTGGCCGTTTTACACAGTTTTGACTGTATACCAAAAAAAGGTAATTTCTTTAAAAATCTGATTATTTATAATATTATAAACTATACTTCATTATGACTCTTAAATTGCACAAAAATACTTACGTATTAATCTGAAAATGTATAGAAATCTACTTTACAATTAATCTGACACAACATGCAACAATATTTTGTGCTAACAATCTGACATGATGTAAAAATATGCTTTTTTAAATTTGAGTAAGATCCAACAATACTCTCTGCTATAATATACTTAGCGTCAATAAAAACCAGACACATTTTAATTGCGTGTTTCATGAAAAGTTGAAAACCCATTTAGCTGAAATTTTCAACATGTGATTGTGAACACTTGACGCTCCTGATCAGCCTGCATTTATGATCAGGTGCCCAGTAAATAAAGCTCAAGTCTTGTTTTGTTATAAACCGTGTTTTGTCATTTTTCTCGAACGTTTTTGGGTTTTTTAGTTTATTTTATGGATTTAACACATCTTTTATCTGTAGCCAAGAATAAAACGTTAAAAGTTTCATTTCAAAACATCTAATCTAAATATACAGTATGTTGCGTTTAACGAACTCTAAGAGCGCAATCAGGCAGTTGGTATACTGAGGGCCAATACGCCGGTAGCGAATATTGCAAGCACCTTCAATGTGACAAGAGACACGATATATCGACTAATGAATCGTTTGCAGACGTCTGGATCCGTGCAGGATGGTCCCCGGACGGGTCGTCCTAGAGCTACAACACCAGCCCATGACCGGTACATTCGGGTCTTGCACCTACGAGATCGCTTCCGGCTTGCTACCAAGACAGCCAGGGAGTGAAAGGGACGGAGAACCATAAGTGTGCCGACGCCTAAGACCTCAGCCGGTCACCTTGGACAGCTATGTACAGCACTTACAAACATATTATGGAACAACATTCCACAGCATCCCATACAAAGACTTTTGCGAAGCATGCGGCACAGGTGCACAGAAGTCGCCAATGCCCACGGCGGCTATACGCGGTATTAACTGTGACTTTTCATTTTAGGGCATACAAATAAAAGATCAAATTTCAGGAAACAAAGTTCATTTTTTAAAATTGTTTTATGGGTAATTGATTTGTAAAATGTTCAAACTTTCCTTATAGAGAGATTGTTTCTTGTTAAAATCAGTCTTTCAATACAAAAAACACTAAAAAAGGGTGTCTGGTTTTTTTTAAACGCCAAGTATAGAATGCTAAAATAACCCCGGCCTGGCACTTTGACTGTATTGCCATGAAAGATAGTACTCATCTAAAACTTAGTTACCAAAACTTTTTAAATACAGTCAAACCTTTTTAAGACAGCCACCCATTGTCAAGGACAAAAGTGGCCGTATAAGACAGGTGGCCGTCTTATGCAGGACTGATCAAGATAAAGAAAACAAATCATTCCCATTTGAGGCCCCAATCGAAAGTAGCCCCACTATGATGTCTTTGTTGGTGTGGTTGTTGTTGGTTTGTATTTCGTTTGTAATTTTTATTTTGTCGCTGATTTTGCACAAGGATGACAATAAAACGAATTGTATCAGACAAGGAAGACCGAATGCCATGTTAAAACAAACACATGGGTCGCCACCACTCAGAGAACGAGCGACACTTCTGCAACAAGTTCATGTTGACGTCCTTTGTTACTTCGTTACTGACTGGGTAAACAGTGACCACTCATCTCACTTACGATTCATGTGTATGAGTTCTGGGCGGAGCTTATGGGTTATGAGGGATTACACACTTTCTTCACCAGCAGCTGAAAATTGGTAGCTATTGTCAACAGTGGGAGGGGCCTACGCAACATGATCGGTTGGAGGGACTACCTAACAACAACGACAGGTGATTGAATTATGACGGCTCGCCCACAATGCCAGGGGCCAATGCACAATTTATGACAAAACGTAATGGAGTCACTAAGGGGACCGTCTTAGACAGGTATTATTGCTTAGTATGATAGGGGTTGTGTGTTAAATTATGGTGACCGCGACCGCGGCCGCGTTGGACAGGTGCCCGTTTTACACAGTTAAATTATATAGAAAAAACGCAAGGGGGGATGGAAAGTGACCGTTTGTACAGGTGGCCGTCTTATAGAGGTGGCCGTCAGGGCAGGTTCGACTGTACTTGATGAGATGAACATTGGCACAAAAAAACAAACGGCTGTTTTTATCATTCACTGTCCTTGCTAGAAATATTATGTGGATCTGTTTAATCATCACGATAATCAATATAAAACACAAAGCAAGAACCAAACCCCAAAGTGACCTTTTGATACTGACTGCTATCCTGGATGTGTCCTAATAAGTGTGTTAGCTAGGCTATCACATTCTCACAGTGCTATGTATTGAATCTGGACTTTTTCTAACATGAACACTGACATAACCTGTGTCAAAGTCTTATAGTTCTCTCAAACCATTTTTTGTCAACAAAAAGACTGTTCAATAATAAAAATGTCAAAGAAATTTAATGAAAGTTTACAGTTGAATGTTTAAGCTATAACACACTGACATACATAGATATAGATATGCAATTTTGCAAAAGCAGTACAGACTACAAACATGACAAGCTGTAACAAAATTGATTGTTGGACAACAACATCATGCAACACTGAAGACATTTGAGTTTTTCAAATCGAAAGTCGACCCACAGCATGCAAGTCAAAGTTGCATTATGAGCACATCACACTGGCAAACAGACATCCTCTCACACTAAGAGAAAGTTATGGAAATAAGAGGCGCACATTACCAAAACATTTTTTCAGTAATTTTCAGTACTTACTCTTGAAGAACCTGTTGTGGAAATCGTAGACAAATCCAGCAAACGGGGAGGCAAATATTCCGCACATAAGAATGTACATGGACACATTTGTGTAGTGGCTCACTGTGGCAGATTGAAAAAAACAAAAAAACATGTCAGTTCCTTGAGCTCATTTCAAAATTAAGAACAACGCAGCAGAAACAAAAACAGTCAGTTCGCTCTGACTTTCCACATAATACAACTGGCAACATTGATCTGCATGTGCACACAATCACCCCCGTTTGACTTTAAAACTTAAAAATCTAGTATGTCACAAAATCATGCTTTATCAAAAATAGAAATAAAACAACCCAGTGATGCTGGTCTGCTTGAGCACACAAACACTGCTGTCAACTTCAAGAACTTAGTGAGCAAAAAAATCTAACTTTATTGTAAATTGACCAACCTCAATTATGTTTGTACATTCATCGAGGATAAAGGTATTAATATCAACCTGAAATAGCAAGATTGGGGGCACTTTCCACTTAAATTCAGTCACGGAGTCAATTTGAACCTGGTTTGCATATAAAGTATTTCATTCATTAAAACATGCATCAATCACATCATAAGAGAAAGTTTATCATGGCTATGAAAGAATGTATAATTGCTATAGGAGAGTGTATCATTGCTATGGGAGAGTGTATCATTGTTATAGCTATATGGGTGAAATTGACATGGGAGTGTGCATCATCCCTAAGGTTTTATCACCAATTGTATCATCCCAATGGGAGAGAGTTTCATCGTTTTGGGAGACTGTAAAATTGCTTTACGAGTGTGTATCATTGCTAAGGGAGAGTTTATCATTGTTTAGGAAGATTGTTTTATCACCAATTTTATCATCACTATGGGAAAGCGTATCATTGCTATGGGAGTGTCTCATTGTCATGGGAGAAAGCATCATCACAATAAATGAGTGTGTCTCACTGTCATGGGAGAGTGTATCATCACAATGGAAGAGTTTTTTATCATCACAATGAGAGGGTATCATCACTATACAGAGTTGCCAGCAGGCTCTACCAAAAAAAGCCTGAAAAATTTTCAGTATAAAATTCTATGCACGGCGCGCAGCATTTCATTAAAACAGATAAGATATTACAATGAGTCAAAATATTTGATACATAGGCCTAGGCCAATTAGAAAAACCTAAATATTGATGTTTGTAATGATTGGGGGAAGGTCTTGGACTCGTTCTGTTATTTTATTCAGATTTTTTATACTATGTACCTATTTATTCAGTTTTAAAAAATAAATAAATAATGCCTAGCCCAGACCTGCCACTCTATCAAATCTAAAAATCAGGATTTTAGAGGAAAAAAATCAGGATCAGGTGAAAAATCGGGATCAACAGCAAATCAGTCATAAGGGGTACTGGGGATTGGGGGGGTGGGGTGGGGGTGTCCTGGTACCCTTTTATGAGGCAAGTATGCAAAAGAAAACTTTTGCAGGAATAAGTTCACGTTTGGGCCTCTAAATAGAGGGAAAACTGAAAGACAGCATTATTCAAGTCGGGAGTTGGATAGACTGGGGGAGCGCAGGTTGCAGTAAAGCTGAAACTCTCGTAGTCTTGAAAATAGCTGACACATAACTCGAATCATCCGTACAAAAAGCCCGCCTTTTCATACAGTAACAACGTTTGACTTCCATCGCATATACACTCAAGGCACCCCCCGGAAAAAAGATCGCGTCAAGGTTGTTCATTTCTTTCTTTCTTATTCCTTTACTTTGTCCTCAAACAATACAAGTATCACGGCACGCACTTTAAGCCCAAGTGTCAAAACAATACCCCCGCCGCCCCCCGGTCGTCCACACTCGATAAGTCCCGAAAAACACCTCGATCACTGTGAATGAACTTTGCTGACCCCGACAGCCGACGGTCCCCGACCTAGGCTTTCTCAGAAGGCCTAGTCCCCGACACATGCGCTACCGGAGATGTCTCCAGCGCTACTCACACATACGAGGTCATGTCACGTGATGAGAATGAGCGTTTGAACGTTCCATTGACAGGTCTTGATGACGGGCCCGACTAAGCAGAACTCAGACGAAGCTTGCTTTTAAAGCAACGGCAGAACAACGAATAGATTTTTCTTAGGCCCATGTCATAATTGTTACAGTAATCAGGACACCATCGGAGAATTCTGGGTTATAAAAGGGAAGGTAGATCTTGAGTGTATCCATGTCGGAATTCAAAATCGATACTACGTCGGTTTTAGTTGAAATAACGTGCGTGAGTCATCTACTAGATTCGGCATAGATGCTTTAGAAAGTAGCGTTCCAAGTTCCTGCCGATAAAATATCCAATCGGTGCTTCCAAGCAAAAGAGATTGCAGAACTTTTTATATTTTTTTCTAAGAATCGGACGCAACAGAAACAACGACAAAAAATCAGGATACTGGCGATCAAAATCGGGAAAATCGGGATTTGAGATTTGGGGGAAAAAATCGGGATATCCCGATTAAATCGGGATGAGTGGCAGGTCTGCTAGCCCCAACACAGGAGTTCAACGGCCCGTTGTGATCTTCCTTCAGGCCCAGCCAGTGTCGGATTACAATTTGTCGACTAGGAAGGAAATATTTTCTCGGCTCGACCGATCTGCGCCTGAAAAGCCGCAAGATTTTAAAAAGCTGGATTTGCGGCTTTAGCCGGTAATCTGGCAACCTGACTATAGAAGAGTGTATCATCACTATGGAGTGTACCATCACTATGGGAGAGTTTAATCATCACTATGGGAGAGTTTAATCATCACTATGGGAGAGTGTACCATCACTATGGGAGAGGTACCATTACAATGGGAGAGTTTAATCATCACTATGGGAGAGTGTACCATCACTATGGGAGAGTGTACCATCACTATGGGAGAGTGTACCATCACCATGGGAGGGGTACCATCACTATGGGAGAGTGTATCCTCACTATGGGAGAGTTTAATCATCACTATGGGAGAGTGTACCCTCACTATGGGAGAGTGTACCATCACTATGGGAGAGTTTAATAATCACTATGGGAGAGTGTACCATCACTATGGGAGAGTGTACCATCACTATGGGAGAGGTACCATCACTATGGGAGATGGAAGAGTGTACCATCACTATGGGAGAGTTAATCATCACTATGGGAGAGTTTGATCATCACTATGGGAGAGTGTACCATCACTATGGGAGAGGTACCATCACTATGGGAGAGTTTAATCATCACTATGGGAGAGTTTAATCATCACTATGGGAGAGTGTACCATCACTATGGGAGAGGTACCATCACTATGGGAGAGTTTAATCATCACTATGGGAGAGTGTACCATCACTATGGGAGAGTGTACCATTACTATGGGAGAGTTTAATCATCACTATGGGAAAGTGTACCATCACTATGGGAGAGTGTACCATCACAATGGGAGAGTTTAATCATCACAATGAGAGAGTTTAATCATCATTATGGGAGAGCGTACCATCACAATTATAGAGGGTACCATCACCATGGAAGAGCGTATCATCGTTAAGGGAGAGGGTATCATCACAATTAGAGAGGGTATCATTACTATGGGCGAGTCTATCATCGCTATGTGGGGTCTCATTGTCATGGGAGAGTGTATCATCACAATTAGACTGGGTATCATCACTATGGGAGAGTGTATCATCACAACGAGAGAGGGTATCATTACTATACGAGAGCATGTCATCAACTTCGGGATAAAGTATCATCGCTATGGGAGTATTGTTGCCATTAGAATGCCAAACCTCTACCGATAAATTTTTGCTGTTGACACTCTCAATGAGTCTGTTCTAAAGTTTTTTTTCTTTTCTCTCCTTATCTTGCAAGGACAGACCTGCGTCCTTGTCATTGTCCAGCAGGTCCTCAAGAGATTTATTCAGAGAGCCGAGCAGGAAGTAGAATCGCAGCTGCAAAATGGACAACCAGATGACATGAAGGATGTAAATCGGCGACACGATACAGCTCATGAGGCTTTGCCGCGGACCCTCCGGACTCTCTTCGGACGTTGCTTTGTCTGCACAAAACCAAACAAAACAAACTATAGTGATAAGACTATGCGGGTTGATGTAAAACAGAGAATACTTGATGGAGGGATCACAGTGCAGAATCTTTAAAACCACTACCTTAAAGGCGATGAGTATCCTAACATACACAGCTTGTTAAAAACTCTGAACTTAATTTTTTTTAAATATAAAGATCTTTTAAAAAAGAGCAGAAATAAAGAAATTCTGCACATCTCTGAGAAAATCTGAATCCTTTGAAGCTTGGAAAATCATCAAATAAAAGCTAAATAAAATGTTTAGTGAGGTGTATGCTGTTAATCTGCCAAAAAACCTTAAGAATGCTGGCCAATTTGTTGGATTTCTGGAAAAACAATCATTTGTGAGGCATCAGGGTGAAACACATTTCCATGTGAATTATATTGAAAAACGATTAAAAGCTCAAAATATACAATTTTTCAGTTGTCAAGAACTCTTTTGCTATTGATGTTACGAAGTTGGCGGCCATTTTCACGTTATTTTTACCGCTGAAACCTAAGTGAACTTACCTCTTTCAATCACAAATATCTTCGCTTCTGCTCAAGATAGATAGGTATTTTTTTCATCAAAAGCAAGATGAATGAACAAGATTTAAAATGATACCAATAACTCCACATGGACAGAAATTGACGAGTGCCCAATTCCACTGCGTCGTGACACATTTTTTAGCTGGCAAGGCAGAAAAGAGACACACAGAAATAACAGAAAGATAGCAAGGAGTGGGGTATTCAAGAAGAATCTTGATGCTAAAAGTGTGGACTGTGATATCATTCACATATAAAGCAAACAAATGGATCTTATATACTTGGAACACAAAGATAACAATATAGTTTACTGCTGCTCCTGGCTCCTTCTAAGGGTAGACCCACATTGGCGTCGGGCCAGACGATCAGAACGGACCTTTTTTTTTTTTCTATGCAAACGAATGAACGCCAGCAGAACAGTAACAACTGGTAATAAAAAACAGCAACACACTCACACTGAAACCGTACGCCCTGAACCAGACAGTTTAGGAATGAACATGTTCAATTGACGCCATCCGCCAGGTGAAAGGGGGATAACTTTCGTAGACCTTGCTTCTAAAAATTCTTTCCCCTTTCTCGCCACTCGCCACATATCTGTTTGTTTTTGTTTTGGTAAGTGTTTTACAGCGGTGCTCAGAACTGCCAAATGAGCACGTGGGTGGGACACATTAAACATTTTCAGTTTGGCAGGAAAAATTTTGAATTTTGCCTGGGTGGCGACGAAAGCAGAAAACAGAACATGGTTAGAGAGTAGGAAATGAGGTCAAAGAGTCTTGGAAAAGTTGTGGATAGAGATGGTGGAACTCTCCGAGGGATTCCCGCTTTTGATGTATGGGAGGGGACTCAAAATCCTCTTGATCTGTTGCGTCTTCGAAACCTTCTTCTTAACCACAACAAGAACAACTCTTTCTCCTCCTGCTATACACCATTTTGTACTATTTATTGATGTTTTCTGACCATCGGGTCCCGGTGGTGGTATGCGCAGCACAGCCGCCAAAAAAATCGGCGGGTTGGGTCTGACCGTCGGGCCAAACGCTGGAGTGGATCTAGCCTAACTGCTATCTTTCAGTTACATCCCTGACCACAGGGTAAGTAAGATTGAACATCCAGCCTTCTTGGATTAAGCTGAAAAAATCTAAGAGATCCACATGCAAGTTGTGCACTTTAAAGATCCCTTGGAATTCCTAAAATTAATAAGAGTAGGCTTCGGCTGCCACCGGGAAAACTTCAAATCTTAATTCCTACCAAAACTGAAAATTCTCACGTCAGTCGACATAGAATGTGGCTGCCTCATGGCAAAGAGCCTTACAAAGTAAGAAAAAAGGTAACGTGCGTAAAAATCAGTTGCACTGCAGGTTGAAGAACCAGCAGTCAACTACACCGGAGATCTAGCAGGGGAACACAAAGAAGAAGGATCTATTTCACATCAATTGTTCAAAGAGAGAACAAATAATAAACAATTTCTCTTATATTTCATTTGAACAAAGAGAGAGCGAATTGTAAATAATGTATCTTAAATGGAATAGAACAATAAATAGTCAATTATATCAAAGCTACAAAACATATTAAAATAACCAATCAAAGAGAAGAAGAAGACGTGTATTTGGGGACACATTTGTCCACAAAACAAGATCCCACATACCGGAAGTGAGTTCAACAGCAACTTCTCCATCATAAGCCACGTCTGCTGTTCTCTTTGCTGGGAGGGTTGGCTTGACGATGAACTTTTTCGGCAGGAAGAAAAAGGTGCTCACCAGTGTCAACAAATGAGACACAGCAAGGATTATGTAAGACATCTGTCGACTGATGCCGTTTTCGTAACCCAACTGAAATACATAGACATACAACTTTAGCCATACAGATTGAAAATCCACATCTGAAACATTGCATGCATGGGGACTTTTATAGTAAAGAGGTAAGTCTTTGCTTGCATCTGTTCCTGTGTGTGCAATAGAAGTGCCAAGTAATCTGCAAAGTCAAGATCATCCAACTGTGTACACGTATGCCATTTCTGTGCCCTCTAGTGCTTTCCTTTGTCAACCAACTGACCTCTGAGGTGAAAATAAAAGGTAGCAATAAATACCTCTACCTCACATTAGTCTTGATGTCAAAGCTGTCAGTGAGCTGGCCATCATGTACAACTAGGCAACTTGTCCCTTCATACATGCTCTTGATGAAGTTCACCAACTTTAGCAGGATTCCGTGATGTCCCTGTATCTTCCACAGTGTTGGTTGCCTGGTATATGCTGTCAAAGGCCTTCTCAGAGTCAAGGAAGTTCAACCAACTGCGAGTTCGACCCCACTGACTTTTCCAATATGATCATGATCATTGCGTGGCAATCTGGTAGATGGCTCACATCTTGGATTCATTGCAGTCTTGACTTGTTCCAGAATGATTCTGTTGAAGACCTTACCTCCTTACCTGGTATTGAGAGTAGAGTAATTCCTCTGTAGTTGCTGCGGTTGATGAGATCCCCTTTTTTGGAAGCTTTAGGTGTCCATCTTTCCAATCTTTAGGAACTTATCCACGTTCCAGATCCTGGTGAACAAAAGGAAAAGGAGGTCTGCCATCACATTGGCAACCGTTTTTATGGCCCGGGGTGGAATCTGATCGGGACCAGCTGCTTTGCCTCTGCTAAGAGAGGTAGTGGCATCAAGAATCTCTTGTTTTGAAAGAACATCACAGCAGATTGGTGAGTCCTTTCTAGGTGACAGGATGTTTTGCAGATTACTTGGTGGTGGTCTGTTCAGGAGGCTGTTGAAATGCTCTACCCATCATTTTGACAAAGCTTCCTTTCCAAAAATAGTTTTCCCTTCTTGGTCTTAATTAGTACTTCTGATTTCCTATATTTTCCAGCAAGAGTCTGGTCTGGTAAAGGATTCTCATGTGCCCTTCTATCACTGCTTCCTCTGTCCTCTCAGCCAGACTCATTGTCTTTTCTTAGTGAGCTCTTGACATCTTTAGAATAGCTGTCATCCTGTCCTGTTCAAGTGCATCTGCTTTTGATCTCTTTATTCGACTTGCATTTATCTCTGCCTTCAATTGTCTTCTATTCCCAGTCAAATCCAGGGAGTGTTGGTCAATCCATTCCTTCTGCCTCCATTTCTTCTCACAAAATATTTCATGACTTGTTGAAGTAGACTTTTTAAAACTTGGCCAAGGTGCATTCACTTCCATGTTCTCTCCACCAAGTTCGACAAAAGATTGAAATCTTCTTCTTCAACTGCAGCTGAAACGCCTCTTTCTTGTGTCCATCTACGGGGCTCACTTGGAACTTCATTCTCTTGGTTCCTGTTCTGATTACACACTTTTTAAGGTGAATCTTGAGTTTTCCAAGCAGCAGATGATGATCCAATCCAGTGTCTGCCCCTATTTGTACTACGACATCTTGCAGAGAACAGCTGAACCGAGAAGATACAAAAATGATCTATATGGTTCTCAGTCATTCCATCTCCAAGCAGCTTTGTGGATCCTCTTGAGGGGAAAAACAGAGCCTCCAATGACAAATCATTCGTTAGTCCCACGCCAAGTTCTTCCACAAAGACCTCACAATAGGTACCACAAACCCCCGCCTCTGCGCAGTTGTAAGCGTGTAGGAAGCTCGAAATTTGGTCATTTTTAATCAACCATAACTCTTCTAATTTGACAACAATCTTCACCCCTTTTCGAACTAAGTCAGTTCAACTATTGTTTTTAGCTAAAATCAAACTATTGAGGACGGCACGGAACGAGATATTGTATAGTAAGCTATCTAAAAAGGTCACCGAAATGCACGGAAATGCGTTTTTCGCATCCATTTTCATGCCGGCCGCGGAGACAAAAATTTAGGGTGCTTCATAAAAAGCCTTCGCGCTACGCGCCTATAACTGCTATCGTCATGAAACAAAAAGTGCAAGAACGAGCTTTGAACAAGCTTTCACCCGGTACCAAGCGCTTGTTGCTAAAGTTAGTTGTTGACCCAGAAATATCGGGAGTTTTGGAACCTATTTTTAGAATGGAAATCTCCAAGTCTGACCATTGATTGGTCGAAAGAACCCTGGACTACTCAAAAGTAGAACATGTCAAGGGAATCGTGTGCAAAAATGACTACGATTGGTCTGGCAGTCGTTTAGCGCCGCTTGTTTTTGTAAACACACCTTGATTCAGCAATGGCGAAGAATTATTTACGTGCACTACCTATTTTCGTTACGCTCTATTCACGTACATAAGTGTCATAAGTGCATATCAAGGGCTGCATTGTGCTTCCAATCATGGATAGGGATATTCTGGAGATGTGCGGAAATTGATTTTGTTAATTAGATTGTTACAGTGTTACATAGTTCTTCATAAAGTCATCAACCTTTGCCTGACCTAGATCTAGTTAGGGCTTGAAGCCGAGATCGCAAACATGCGAACGGGTGGTCTCATTCAGAGCATCCTGTAATTAATTCAGTACCCAGTATTGTTGTAAATCTGATTTGGATAGAAAGATAAGAAGCTTAAATTTCTTGAAAATATGGTGAAATCTAAACCAACTTGTTTTTAGTCATTAAAAATTGGTGCTATTTTCTGGTCACGTGACCATTTCATTCTATCGATGATTCCGTAATGGTGACCTCTTTTTAAAGATCATAACAAGCTTGATGAACTCGTCTGGGAAGGGGGTGCAGCTGGCATTTGTTCATTGATGAATGAATATATTCTCTTGAATATCACGAATATCTGACAAAGTCATTGATAACTAAATCATTTAATTGTTTTCTTTTAGCCAATATATCTAGTTAGACTCATGAAACAAGTACCGGCACCAATTGAATTATTTTTTTATACAACTTTTTAGAGGCTGGTTTACTGCTGAAAATGGACTCTCCTACTCGAGAGCTTCATTCATAATAATTCGTGATTATCAAATAAGTCGGTACCTTTAGAATTGCTAGATCTATTCCTGAATAGACCCAATTTTTTTAGATAATGAGCCATGGGGAATTTGAACTTTGTTGCAGATCTAACTTTTGTCTCCTCCACCCTCTCCCCAATTGTCCTGGCCCTTGATTTGAAAATGGGCTCTGCCCGTGCAGGAGCTTCTGCCCAATTATATATTTTTGGGGAAAAATCATCGTTTTGAAACGAAAGGGGGCTGTGCCCAGGCGGGAGCTTCTGCCCAATTATATATTTTTGAAAAAATTTTTTGGGGAGATTCTTTCCAATTAAAAAAAAAAATTAAAATTGAGGAGTTTTTGTGTGTGTTTGTGTATCTGATCTGTCATTGTTGAATATTTACTTTATTAATGCCTCATTTTATCACAGATTTGATTGCAGAAATGGATTCCTGGCCCAAAAACACAGAAGCATAGAGCTTTGGAGCGTCTTTCTTGTTGTTCTATAGAAGTTATAGATGATTTTGTTGAAATTATGCTGAATAATTTCTTATTTTATCTCTTATCTAACCTCATATAATTGTAATGCTTCATGTTATCACAGAAATGATAACAGAAATGGATTCCTGGTCCAAAAGTACATTGGCATGGAAAGTTTCAGATATTTACCATGATTTTTGGTGATTTTATTCTGAAAAGTGTTCAGGCCATGTGTACCGTGTTGTGATTTTGTTTATAATGCAAAATTGGCAGATTTCTCATTTTTTTGGTTCCATAACTGATTCAATTTAAGTGCCAGAACTCTGAAAAAAATTGGGCTATGAATTTGCATTACTGTGAATATGTTCTGTAAACTTCATTTCTTTTCAGCAATAACTTTCCATTTTATTGATGTCTGAAATCAGTCTTTTTAGCATTTTTGAATTAACATTATGCATCAAGGAGTAATTTTTTTCCAATTTTAAGTCTTTGTATTGCCTTTATTTAAACTCTGATTGTCCTCATCTTGGTATTTTGCATAGTTTATACTGGCACCTGTAGAAACAAATAATAATACACACTTTATGTACCTCAATAAATTTTCTGTGAACTCACAAAATCGCACTTTTTAACATGATTTTAAAGTTGCCCAAAATTTACGACGTCCACAAATTTCAAACACCTGTCATTTTTCAATTTATTGTCCGATTTCTATAATTCAAACACCAAAGTTCATGGTTTGCATAGTTCTTTATGATGCAACAAACATATGTTTGATCAAAGCACTTGTAGTTTGTCCATGGCCTTCTAAAGCAGGCTGTAAAAAGCATCCTTGTCTTCATCCAAAGCATCATTTGTCGGAGTGTAGAACTGAACTATATTCATGTTGATGCTCTTGCTCCTAGTGGTGAATGAAGGAAAGAAGATCCTCTCCCCGTGCAGTTGCCATGCTCTTGGTGATTTCTGGGCTTACTCACTCTATATGACTGCAGCTCCTTCCGCACGGTACCTGTCTTCCCTGCCAGAATATAAAATTCGTTCCCCTGAGCTGAGCTGCTTCTGTCCAGACTACATCCAGTGGGTTTTGATAACTTCTAGTATGTGCAGTCTGTATCTCCTTATCTCTTGTGACACTTGAGCATTCTTTCCTATTGCACATATGGTGCGAACATTCCACAACACAATCCGGAGAGACTTGCTCAATGGAAAAAGTTTCAGGTCAGAAGAGTCCTTTCAGCTTTGTCCACTGTCCTTCATTGGTCTGTCTCCCAAGATTATGACGTGTTTGTTTGTGCTTCTTTAACTTTTTAACTTTTTAACAGGGTTGGGTGGTTGACCTTCTGCCAACTGGCAAATTTCGAGAGACCAGAACTAAGCACTTTTATTCACCTCTTATGACACGCAGCATCACTACAGGTGTTATTCTTTGCTCCCAAAACTTTGGGACCCCCACCTGCAGGGGCGAGCTCAGAGTACAGTGGTGTAGATCCAGCTGTCCAAATGAAGGAGCCAGGTGCGGTAGGCGAGAGGGTTAAGAATGAAAACTTTCATTCAGAGCAAAAATAACAGCAATGATGATGGACCATATTTACACAATACATTGCTCCTGGGACATCCACGCAGTTTACAGTAAAGATTTCATGAAAAACATTTTATTCATTGATGGTATCAATAGGGTAAAAGAAACAAAAACCTGTTCACTTACCTTAACCATGAGCTGTACCCCGGACGAAGCATCAAACCCACCACACAACAGTCCGACTATAAGCGAGCCCTGGTCTTGGAACAGGACAGACACCTGCGTGTTCGTCATCAGGTACGTGATTCCCCCCGAGCCGATGAGGGAGAGGCCAGGAAAGATAAGCCACGGCACGTCTATGGAATACAAAGTCAGCATTTGAACATGTGAGTGAATGAAGGAACGACATTTCTGACACACCTCTGCCTTCTGTTTTTTTTCCATATAACATTTGACAAAACCAGCACTAAATATTGATATTTCAAATGCAGGGCTGCCTACCTCAAAGTTCCCATTTCAGACAGATTCAGGGTCATTTTCAGGTAGATTGGCCCAAAATCAGGTAGTACAAAAACAAAGAAGAAGAAAAAAGATGATCGTTGCCCCATCGAACGCGCTTGCTTTCCGTGATATTGGGTAATTATATTTTTAAAACTTGTTTGTGCATGCACATGTGCGTGTGTGTGTGTCTGTGTGAGCATGTTGCCATGCTCTCGCATGTGCCTATTATGTGCGTGGGGGAGGAAGGGGGTGTATGGGTGTGCACAAGTTACGATGAACAGTGTGTATGAAATGAGGCGAGGTTGTTTTGTTTTTCAAAATCATTTTATGGACTATCGTTCAAGGCACTTATCATTCAGTATTGAATCTGGAATTGAGTGCAGGGTGATTGCCAAACTGACTTCAAAACCCCTAGCCCATACCAATAGAAACTAAATTAAAACATAATTTTCCCGACTCTAGCATAGGACACTGATAAGTCCTTCGTGACTTATGTATGACAGACAATTAATTTTAACTAGTTTTACCCTAAAAATACAAAATGAATCCTGATCTGGGCCCGAGGAGAGGCAAGAAGAACATCAACAGCCAAAACCAAGTTTGGTTTCAGCAATCACGGATTTTAGAAAGCATGCAAGACAAAACTTATTTATAAAACCTTTATAGTTAGGCTCACGGAGGAGAAAAAAGTTAAAATAAAAGAGAGCGTGTAACGACAGAGCCGCAGCTGGAAGGACTGTGAGAGTGTGGGATGTAGTGATGCTGAAAACCTGGCAATCAGTGAATCACTGCATCATGGACTAAGTATTGCTTTTTTTCAAACTGCTAAATCACAGTACCAGTATTTAATCAGCAACAAGCCATCATGACGCATATGCATCCAACAGAGAGCTTTCCGAGGGTTGAAAATGGCATTTCCTCATTGCCACTATTCAATTTGTCATTACTGACAAATCCGGGAACACCAACCTTGAAGATATAATCATCAAGCTTGTGCTCTAATGTTCCCTCATTTACGCACTCGATTGTCGAATGTCAAAACCACTTCCACTTATCGTTTTTATTTTAGCATCAGTTTCTTGCACCGCGGCCTTTTCCTGCTGCCGTAGACTTTATTGCATCAAACGCCTCCCCTAAATTCCGACGGCGTGCAACACTCCTACTTAGAAAGAACTTTGATTAGCCTTTCCCCAACAACCACAGGCCGGTACCTTACTCATGCCGTACTCATAAACTCTCACAGGTTCACTGACGGTCACGATGACGGGCCTGACAATCTAGAAATTGAAGGACGCGTGTTTTCTTTTTCTCCCTTTTTTTGGTCATTATAGCGACATCAGTGAGAATATCGATTTAAATTTTATGGCGAAACTGCGTTTTTTACGAACAAACTGCAGTTTACAAATTTTTATTAACTGTAAATCTAACGTCAACGAACTATCATCGGACAATTCTGAGCGGTAGCGAAAGTAGATTTTGATTTTCCCAAAGGACTCTCAGTGTTACACCTACACTTCCACTTGCCGCCATAGCCGCTCATTCGCGCAAAACGTACTCTCGGACTGGGGAAAGCCGAACGTAATATCACAAACGCGACCAGTAAAATATGAACTCCGAAGGCTTTTCAGATTTGGTTTCGAGGACTTACTGCATTTTGCGATTATTTTTTTTCAGATTCTCGCATAATAAATTCCCGCAGTCCCCTTGCGTAGAATCCTTATTTGGTACTGACCAATTCTCTAGACCAAGACAAATTTTAGAATGTTTTGCTTCGATACCGATTTTCGTTCTATATTCACAATTCTGTTTTCTGGATAAATGAATTAAATGCACAGATTTTCCAGCCGCAGCAAAACACTGAAGATAGACAGAAAGAAAGACTGAATGAAAAGAAGGAAGAAGATCATCTATCGTGAGTAGACAGATTTCAGCCGACATGCACGTGAAAAACTATTGCCGACTGAACGGCACAGATAGACAATGGTCGAGTGTACGAAATGCGCAGTCTGGCAGTTTCTAAATCAACTTATTGCAGAGAGTTGCTGTAAATATTTGACAAGTTACGGAGGCAAGTGCTGATCTTTCTCTCTCTCTCTCTCTCTCTCTCTCTCTCTCTCTCTCTCACTCAACGCATGGAGTTGATATGATGATGTGGCAAGTACAGAACTTTCGGAATGCACGGATTTCCATAAAAACAAAAAAGAATGGAAGCACTGCAGAATGGGTTTTTTTTCCTTTTTATTCTCTCGGCACCCATCGTTAATCCGGTAGTTTTAACACCTTATCAGTATGGCGGTAGAACAGGCCCAAAATCGGTATCTACCGGAAAAATCGGTAGATTTAGGCAGCCCTGCAAATGCATCCAACCTGGCAGTTCTTTCACTTAATATTAGCAAGCTTACTGAGCGGTGCACATGTATTCTGGTATTGAAATGGAGCTCTAAAGATCAGTTAACATGAGGCTTCTATCACTGGAAAGGTTATTACAGGCACATACAAAAATGTGTTTCTTTTTTTATAAAAACATATACTGTTATGCGATATGAATAATTCTAATAAGGAAAATCACTAAAATCTTAATAAATTCTAGCAAAGCATACTAAATGTTCACAAAAATTGAATTTTCCTGGTGGCAATTTTGGGGCATCACTGCAGACTGCTGATGATTGAAAAAACTCTTCCCTCCCCTCACAAAAACCACTTCATTGTCAATGAAAACGTATCCTTTAAGATGGCATTTATGCAATACAATGAATTAGTTCAAGACCTTTAAGGCTCACCATTTGTGGTGAAGGCAATCATCAGAGCACCGGAGATGAACAGAATCCTGTATTGGAAAACGACAAGTAAAAACCTTTTAATAGAAGTGATGTTTACAATCATTATTACTATTACAATAATAATAATAATATTATTATAATTATTACTCTCTTGGGGCACTCAAACTTAACCATCCGGTTTGATTCTAGAGTTAGGCAAGCATGTTTTGGTGGAAGAATTGCTTTGTTCTCTGGTTTTTCCACATTTTGATCCATGGTTATGTGTGATGGAGTACCTAGTCTTCTAAGATAAGATTGATAAACTGTGGAGATTATGAGTCAGAGGAAGGCAGGCTCACATATAAGAGAGATAAAAATCTAATCTCTGTTTACCTTCTGAAAGTGAGTTAATTTAGAATTATGTGAAATCAGCTTTTGGGAGCCAGAAAAGTGAGGGGACATTGCCTTCAATTGAAAAAACAGGAAAGGTTCCTAAAAGTTTGTTACCCTGTTGGCTGAACGAGTGAGTTACTCTGAGATCTAGAACACCCACTTCATAGTGGCTCTTGGGGCTTGACAATAACAATTTTTTTTTAAAGAAGAAAAAAATTCAACAACAAACACAATGATTCACAATGTAGCAATACCACAGCCCTTTTAAAGATGGGTACCACTAACCTATAAACAACACAGGTACAAAGATAAAAAATCCAGAAGTAAAATGTTTTTTACTTTTTCCCAAATCGGTCCATAAATTTTAAAAAGTTATGGCTGTGTACATGTAGGAAATTGTGGGTATTTTGGAGAAAATTCCTATAGAGGTACAGTGGAATCCTGTTATAACGAGAGGGAGGGGACTGGTGCAAAATGTCTGTTATAGAAGGATTCTTGCTATAAGAGATCCAGCAATAAATTCACCGGAAATAATAAAGTAGGCCTAATCTATGAGTTTGGTGTTTTGTTTATTTCTTTTTGTTATCTCCCCTGATTATGACTGTTTCAACATGACCTCTAGGTCTTCCTTGATCAAAAAACGAATCAGGTTTCTTTCTCTAGCGCTAGCTATGTTGACAGCTCGGCGTTGGTGATCAGAAAGAAAGGACTCTGGGCTAACTCACCGCTTTTTTTCCCCCAACCCCACCACACCCCGTGGAGCATTCGGTCACACATTCACTCCATCCATCATATTGCTGCGACCTCTCCAACCCCGCATCGGAGAAGTAAGAGGCATGGTAGGCCTACATAATCTATACTAGGCCTAGGCTGGCCTATCACGTGATGCGTTCTGCTTGTCTGTGCATGCCACACCCTCCCTACTCAGTCGCTCCAGCCTTCATTATTGACACACATGGGCTCTCCCATTCTTTGTTTCGCTAGATCACCAACAAGGTTTTCAACTGGCTAGGTTTTACATTATGTATAATTAGCCTATGCACTGTGCACAGCAGCAGCAATATTCCACGATAACTGACTCGCATGTTTGTCTGATTGCGCTATTGCAGTATGTTATTTACAAAGATAAAGAGAGAAAAAACCCCGGTGTTTTAGAATAGTGTCTTTATAACAGACTTCTCGTTATTTCAGGACTCGTTATAAGTGGACTCAACTGTATAAGGAAGGGCAAACGCAATCAGAAAATTGAAAATCCATAACTTTCACATTTATAAATGAAATGACCTGAAAATTGGTGAGTTTATGTATTTTGGGGCAACAAAATAGAAAATGGAAGAATTAAAGTTGTAATCTCAATAAATTGTTAATTATATGCAAATAAATAATGAAATATATGCAAAACTATAAAAAAAAACACACAAATATATGGCTTAATAATAGACATATATGTCCCTTTTGTTACATGTAGATGTATACAAATGTGTGTTTGCAAAGAGACGAATTAGAAAATGTGACAAATAAGGCTTTAAATGTTGGATTATGCACTCGTTTGAATATATGCACATAATTAATTAACCAAATTGTAACCAAACAGCTCAGAGAGTGGGAAAGTAACAAGTTAATAAATAATATCAAGCTCAGGTTCTTAAAAAAAAACTTATAAATGAAACTACAATAAATGCAAATAACTCCGAAACTCTGTTTAACTCCGAAACTCTGTTTCTCCGATTTCATTATTTTGACGAGCGTCTGATTTTAACACATTGCCTCACATATTTTCTTTCATATCCGTTAACAGGAAGTCTATTCTATTATTTTGAAAAAGCGGATCGACCGAAAATTTCATGTCTTTTCATTACTGGATATGAATAGATAGCGAGCCACTCGAGCCATATTTTGTAGCTCTCTGTCCAGCGAAGCCACGTCCCCAAGCCGTTAACTCACTTCAGACGGGTCACACAACAGTTGCGTGACCCCCGCCGCGACGGGTCTCACAAGCCCTGCGTGACCAACTTTGGAATTTTTTTTTCGCTCTACAAATCACGCACGGATCGCGAGACCCGCCTCGTACCCTTGTTTGGCCAAGCCTGAGCTACTTAGACTTCGTTTCGTATCTCTGGGGCCGGTAGTTTTTAAGTTATTGAAGGTGAAGGACAGTAACCCCAACTGGGGTTGAACAGACCGGAACTCGCGCTTTGTTTTTTTCTATACAGCTGACAGTAATCCGACAGTCGCGTCGTAGTAACGGTCGAAGAAGTCGCATGAACAAGAATCACATAATTTCGCCGTTTTCTATACTTCTGTGCGTTTTACTGGTTCTAGTGTCTCAGAATATGATGTGTCTAATAGTTAGGATCCTGGATATGTACCCGAACACGGCCAGAGTTGTAGTTCTAGAGCTAGATCTAGCACTAGTACCGGTGTTGTTTTTCGCGCAACGAAATCACAACGTCGTGCCGTACATCTGTCTCATGTAATTCAGTGTATGGGTCTGAATCAATGCACAGACCAGCTTTTACATTTTCACCAAACACTCGCACATGTATACAAATCAAACCAGAACACTTTGAACTTTTATTTTTGTTGTTGCAGTGAATTTCATTCTACTTGTCACGTCTCTGGAAATTTTTCCGAAAATCAAATTCATGCCAATTTTTTAAAAATCATACAAATTAATGTATTAGACCTAGACAACTTTAGTTTTTTGTATTAGATTAAGCTTGAATGTTACTTTACTGTGTCAAAAAATTATTACAATAGGGTAATTCTGAGAGTTGTGGTGATTTATTGAAATACCCCCAAAAACGCCAGTCTTCAACGCTTGTGACTGGTGAAAGGGCAAGAGAGTTAAGACACGGAAATCCGTGGAAGCTAGATCCATCTTTCTTCTCATTGGTTGCCAAATTTGGGGACATTTGGTTAATATTTAGAATGGTTCCGCACCTTCCGAATAAGGAGAGTCAGAAAATCACGGTGCCATTCGGCAGATTTCAGTCTCGCTACCGACCAATCCTCTTTCTACAATAATATCTCAGCTGTCGCTGAACATATCGAAAAAACTTTCTCTTCAGTGAATGCCTCAATTTCTCCCGCATGTATTGATGTTTGATACATGGTGGAATCAGGCGCTCGTCAATTTTTGGACATGTGGAGTTATTGGTATCATCTGAAAGCCGTTTATTCGCCTTGCATCCAGTGAAATAAATATTCATTTATCTTGGATAGAACTCAAGATATTTGCGATTGAAGGACAATGTTATAATAAGCAAATTCTTGGGGTTACCCGTGGCTCGGGCGAGTCTACCGCATTTTCGCACTGCCGGCGCGGGGCGTGTGACACACATGCATACTGGCCCATTCAACATACAACTATGCATTCAAATACTTATGCACCTGTTATCAGACGAAACAACACATCATACACAAAAAGACAATCAGTGTGGCTGCTGATCACACTTACATAGCTAGTATTCTTGTGATCCTTGTGCCGAACTTGAAATTGATCTGTCCCATTATGAAGCAGCCGACACAGAACATAGCACTGGCAATTGTGAACACCAATGCCAGTTTGTTATCTCTTGCATCACAACCATCACTTGGGGACTTTCCTTCTACAGAGACAGGCCTAGGAGAGAAGCCATTAAAAAAACATCGTAAAAACTTTTGATATATATATTTAGAATATATATATATACAGTAGTCTCCGCCTAAGATCCCACCGCTTACGATCCCGGTTCGCTTAAGATCCCGTTGTTTTAGGAAAACAGAATTTTTACTATACAAAAGTCACCCCTAAGATCCCGCTCTGATGGTCTACATTCGGCTAAGATCCCGCATTTCAGATCATAATTTGCTAAACAAAAACCAGGGCGGGCACAGCCGATCAACCAAGAGTGAAAAGTTGAGATCAATAAACTGTCCGTCGCGTCAAAGATCAGCCACTATCGTGAATGTGATCACATACACGTTGTAAAACTCGATGAAGCGATACAATCTATACGTTCTTATACTAACTCATGATAGGATAATAAGTGAAAATGGCACGCCTCATGCCACTATGCACCGTGATAGGTCATCAAGGTTAACCACTCTTTGCTCGCCATATGCCATAAACCCACCAAGGGGGCACGTCAGTTCATTGTAGAGTGGAAGGAGACCATTTTACCGATTGTGAGCCTTAACATGGGTCACCATAGATTCTTTCCTGGGTTCGTCGGTTAAGATCCCGGTTCGCCTAAGATCCCGCATTTCCTTGCTCCCGAGCATCGGGATCTTAGGCGGAGACTACTGTATATGTATATGTCTACTGATGGCCTAAAGTACAAACCATTTTATAAGTCTGGAAACATACTGCAGTTGAACCTACTTTAAAGACCACCTGTCCAAGACAATTAACAGTACAAGTGATCACCTCCCACTTTGCCCCTTGCATTTTTTTCAAAATTGTAATGACACTATCCAAGGGGGAAATTGAGTCTACTGAGTATATCTGCCCGACCGCTGGGATATTGTACCACATTCAGCCTGGGTTACCTCATAACAGTAAGAAATTCCTTTTAATGTGGAATGCACCAACTGCACACAATAGGGAGTGGACATATTTTAAAAAGTATGGACTTTTCTTGTTATGCTAATTGCTGTTATATTTATAGTGGTAGTACTAAACTAGTTGTAGTAGTGTTAAACTGCTTTCACTCTTACAAAAATTGCTTTAAATTTTAAATACGACAACAGGTACAAGTAAAACACAGCGAATATTACTCATAAACAAGAACAACACAGTACAAACAACTCACGCTGGAGAGTCTATAACAACTGAAGCATTTCCCAGTCCGGGCCCGACACTGTACGGCGTGACCTCTGACACATTCAGAACAGCAGATCCATTTGTGGGGGTGTTATCACAGAGGTCGAGGTACAAACCCTCGTCCTTCAGAATATACACCAGTGAGCCCCAACCATACAGCAGACCACCAAAGCCAAGGCATTCCAAGAAGGCCCAAACAGCATACAGATAGCGCAGTTTGGGGTTTCCAGGTCTCATGTTCAAGAGAGGATCACCTTCACTACCCTGTTCATGAAATAAACAATGAAAAGTAAAGTTTCTAGTTTAATAACCCTCTTTTTGTGGGGGTTTGGCGGGTGCCCTGGTGTGGTTTGCTCCTTCTTTTCTATAATATCTATTGTCCTTATCTCCCCTCCTTGTTGTTTTGTGTTTGTTAAGTGTACTCTCTTGTAACAACTCTAATCTTCGGCCCTAATAGTGACTTAATACTAATTATGTAGCAAGAACCGTAAAACTCAAGAAGAACATAAATAAACTCTCTTTTATCAACTCAATACTTTCAAAGTGCAGAGGAAGGTAAAAAGAAAATTTTGTCCTGGAGCAAAACGGAGAACTTAATTCAAAAGGTACACAATGAAAAGGCATGAAAAAAAATCTAAAAGAAAATTGAACTAGGCGCAATAAATTTAAGAACTTCTCTATCACTGAAAAAAAAGAAGACAAAAAAGGCAGGGGTAGGTCCAGAGCAACTTACTTGGAAAACCTGAAAAGAGACGACAGGGAAAGACCAGGATAATAGTTTTTTTTAGAGCATCCGAGCAAAGGAATGAATGGAGAAGCATGAGTGCCAATGTCTACACCAGTAACCAGTAATAAGGAATCAGGCTTCTAAAAAGTAAGACAGAATCCCCAACATACACATATTGCGTTAGAATAAGTGACAACCAGACAGACTTCACTTCCCATGATGCATAAAATTAAAACTCAAAAGGTAAGAGCTATTTGCAACGCAGCGTTCTGAATAGCTCCGATGCTATTTGAAACGCAGTGTTCTGATTAGCTCCCATGCTATTTGAAACGTCGCGTTCTGAATAGCTCCCCTGCTATTTGAAACGGAAGTATAGTAGCCATCGTTTCTAACAGAATAATATTGTAGTTCTGCCTGAATTGTGAAAGCTTTCTCAGTTTTTTGATTAACCTCCTAGGATTTGACTCCTTTTTTATGACGTTGTCTTATTCCGATCAATATTGGGTAGACTTAGATCTAGATCTAACAATTGTTTCTGACATTGTTTGCACAAAAGTAGTCTTGTTCATCTCTCATAATAGATATCCTAGTCAAAAGACGCTCTATAACAATAACAAGACGGCGCAACTCGGTAAGCACATATTTCCTGTCCGCAGGGTCGTCATACAATAGTTCTACCTAAAAATATTATCTCTGCGAGCACTTTATATTTTGCTTCAGCGATTTAATTAGCAGAGGGTAGTGTCTACGTTCTCTAACGTTAGGCCTAGAAAACTATACAAGCTGTCTACGTTCTCTAATGTTATGTACAATGTTTCCAAGCATGGCATCAAATCCCAGTCCCAGAAAGTTTTTTTTTTCCTTCTCCTGAGCCTAAAATAAAAAAATTAGACTCACAGACCAAGGAAAGCCACTATTGAACTTTAACCCGGCCTAAATTGGTGAAAGGAAAAGTATAGGCCTACTTTGTTGGTAAAAGCTCCTCTTGGGGACAAAACCAGAATGTGCATGCTTCATCACTACATAAAAAAATACAAAGCAACAAGTTATGATTAGATCTATGGAAAAAAAATAGTTGGACAGTTGGGAATAGGAGAAGAAGAAGAAAACCCCCCCCCACAAAACTCCCAGGACCGGAATTCGTTCCCACGCTCATAAATAATGGTTTGACTTCAAACACAGACGCGCTGTCCATTCGTCCATCAGAACTTCCAACAACGAAAAGTAGATTAAGGTTTACATATTTAACACACGCCGTTTTATTTAGCACCGGCGCTAATCGCAACGCGGCTTTTTATTTAGCACTGGCGCTAATCGCAACGCAGCGTTCTAAATAGGCACTTCCTAAAATTAAAAGTACAGTTAGATTTAAATCTATAACATCTCATTATTATGTAGTCTTTACAGCCTAGGGCTGCTGCGGGTCCTGGTTAGACTGAAAGATAGTCATCCAGTAGTAAGGGTTAGGATAATGGTAAGGTTGGGGATTGGGGCAGGGTAAGGTATGATAACTCTTACCCTAGCCTTAACCACATGCAGCTAAACGTAGAACGACATACTTTCCAGATTGGCGGCTAATTTTAGTAGGCCCTAATGTGATGTCATCACATCCTGGGATACCCACAGACTATTTTTAAAAGGCCGTGGAGATACCAAAGAATGTGTAGACATGGAACGACATTGGGTCAGTGGCTTGACGTATTTTATTCGTATCGATGTGTTTCGTACGGTAAAATTTCACACTTGTGTGGCTAACTGCAACCCGTCAGCCATGCTCTACTGATTGGTTACAAGGTTGCTGGTATGTTAATAAGATTTCGGAATTTCAGTAGATCTAGTGATACTTGAAACTGAAACACGGTAGATCTAAACGCACACCTTGTCACATCTTGTCCACAGTGTTGGGATCACTACAGTCGGAACATGTCCATCTCTGCTCTCCCCCCCTCTTCAGGATCCATCCCAGAGTCTGTCAAGTAGATCTAAACGCACACCTTGTCCACAGTGTTGGGATCACTACAGTCGGAACATGTCCATCTCTGCTCTCCCCCCCTCTTCAGGATCCATCCCAGAGTCTGTCAAGTAGATCTAAACGCAAAGAAAATAAAGCGCGCGAAAACTGCCGTAAAGACGCCGAAAGACCCCCCCCCTCCCCTGGGAGCAATAAACAATGCGCAGAAGAGATAAGCAGTAGCATCATCGGAGGGCAGCATCATCGGAGCACCACATCATATAATAAATAGATTTCCAGGCTAATATCACAAGACCGTAAGCTGGAAACCCGCAGGCCGCAGGGGATCCAGAAAAACAAGTTAGATCTAGATCTAGATTAGATTGTACTGTTATTACAATAAAAATGGTAACAGTAAAAGTATGTATTTGATTAGGCTATATATATGTTACCGTTTCGGGGCTCTTTGGAAATTGCATTCCCATTTGTTTACATGAAGAAACAAAAGTGATTGTTAACAAAATTGGCCAGGTAGGCTAAGTGAAACCTACCACATTAGCCAGTTGTTGAACTTGTGACCTTATGATCATTCATGTTATTGTTACGTTTTCGGTAATTAGCTGTGGATTGTTTTGTACATTCCAATAAAGCAGGGGAGATTACTTTCACTAGTTCCTCTTTCCAACCGATCAGCTGTTTGGCCGTTGTCCGCTGAATTTTGTTCCCTCATCATGGCAAGTCAAATCAGATCTAGAACCCATTCAACACCAGAAATATTTTTCTGCCTTTTTCGTATAAAAAATTAATTTTGGCAGGATTGAACTGTGGTGGACCCACTGTGTTTAAACGTGTGTATTAATGCGCACTAGCCATTATAACAGTGGGGAGTTTCAGGGGGGCTCGCCCCCCTGATAGTGTGGGGGAGGGAGGGGGGAATAAGATTAAAGAATACCAGACGGTCAGCGGACTGAATTTGCCTCTGTCTCAACCTTAGGAATTCATGATTTTCCCCAGTTTTTAATATCTCTCAATGGAGAATCTCGGACCAGTAGATCTATTCATTACAATTTTGTCGGGGGGAGACCCCCCTGAACCCCCCCACCCCACATTTTCGTGCAATAATGTATACGAGTGGTCTGGCATTCTTCAGTCTTCCCGAGGGGGGCTTGCAGCACTCCTGTACAATTGCGGTCCAGTTTAGAGACTCGTTTTGACCCTACCAACGATTACTTCTGGTTCTGAACGATTGCTTTTTGATGCAAGTGCCGATAGGCCTAGGGACAGATAGCCAATCAAACCTGATTGCAAAACATCAAATTATGGTCAAACTCAGGGGGCCCTGAAACCCCCCTTGCCTTATTAATAATATAATAAAATAATATTGCATTTATATATATATATATAGATAGCGCATCCAT